TCAGGCAGTCCACTCACCTCAACCTCCCAAAGGCGCGGGATTACAGGCTGAGCCACCGAACCCGGCTTTTTTTTTTTTTTTTTAAGTTGGAGACTCACTCTGTCGCCCAGACTGGAGTACAGTGGCTGCTCCCGGCCACCGCAGCCTTGACCTGCTGGGCTCCGGCTATCCTTCCACCTCAGCCTTAAAAGTAGCCAGAACTACAGGCGCGTGCTACTATGTCCAGCTAGTTTTTGATGTATTGTAGAGACGAGGTCTTGCCAAGTGGCCTGGGTGGGTTTCCAATCCACGGGCTCAGGCAATTCACTCGCCTCACCTTCCCAAAGTGCTGGGATTACAGGCTGAGCCACCGAGGCTGGACTTTTTTTTTTTTTTAATGATCACACTGTTATTTTTAAAGACCTGCTATTCTCTTGAAGTATAGTGAATAATAAAATTTTTTTTTTGAGTCAGAATCTCACTCTATTGCCCAGTCTGGAGTGCGGTGGCATGTCATGGCCATCGTAGCCTCAACCTGCTGGGGGCTCTGGCCATCTTTCTGCTTCAGCCTTCCAAATAGCTGGAACCACAGGCATGCATCATCATGCCTGGCCAATTTTATGATTTACTGTAGAGATGAGGTCTCACCAAGTTGGCCCAGGCTGGTCTCAAATCTCTGGGCTCAGGCAGTCCTCTCACCTCTGCCTTGTAAAGTGCTGGTATTACAGACATGAGCTGCCGTGCCCGACTTTGTATATTTATTTTATTTGGAGTAAATTAAATGTGGAAGTTACTTTTTTTTTATTTCTTTGCTTGAACCATTTGGGAAATTTTCAAAATAGGGTACTCAAAAAATAATGGGTTGCAAACTGATCAAACTAGATGAATGTTAACTACACTAGCTTTTAGTCCAGCCTATTATCTTTTCCATCTATTTCTGAGAGATATATTTGTTTTATGTTTTAATATCTTTTATGGGTAAAAAAGTAAAACATGTTCAACATAAAAAGTTCAAAAACGATCTGGGTGCAATGTCTCATGCCTGTAATACCAGTGCTTTGGGAGGGTGAGATGTGAGGGTTGCTTCATCCCAGGAGTTTGAGACCAGTCTAGGCAACATAATGTAACCTCCTCTCTACAATAAATAAAAAAATTTAGCTGCGCTCGGTGGCTCAGCCTGTAATCCCGTGCCTTGGGAGGCTGAGGTAAGTGGATTGCCTGAGCCCGTAGGTTCAAGACCCGCCTGGGCAACTTGGTGAGACCTCATCTCTACAATAATTCAAAAAAATTAGCTGGGCGTGGTAGCGGGCGCCTGTAATTCTGGCTACTCGGAAGGCTGAGGCGGAAGGATTGCCAGAGCTCAGCAGGTCGAGGTTGTGGTGGCCGGGAGCGGCTACTGCACTCCAGTCTGGGCGACAGAGTGAGACTCCAACCCAAAATTAAAAAAAAAAAAAATTATCCAACATGGTAGCACGTGTCTGTAATTCCTGCTACTTGGAAGGCTGAGGCAGAAGGATCGCCGGAGCACAGCAGGTTGATGCTGGGGTGGTGGTGAGCTTGCCACTGCACTCCAGCCTGGGTGACAGAGTGAGACTCCAACTCAAAAAAAAAAAAAAGCTACGTGAGACACCAGTGAAGTTCCTCCATAAATGTGCTTAAGCCAGAGTTTTAAGATTCAGGCTACAAAAATGAGCTGGCTTTAAAACTTGCATGTCATACAGCTCCTTTCCTAACTTCAAGACAGACAAGTTGTTATATATGAAATGCTTAGAGCTCCACATAAGATGAGGCTACTTAAGTTTAAAGTTTTGTTTTAAGCCGGCTCGGTGGCTCAGCCTGTAATCCCGCGCCTTTGGGAGGCTGAGGTGAGTGGATTGCCTGAGCCCGCGGGTTCGAGACCCGCCTGGGCAGTGAGACCTCATCTCTACAATAAATCAAAAAATCAGCTGGGCGTGGTAGCACACGCCTGTAATTCCGGCTACTTGGAAGGCTGAGGCGGAAGGATCGCTGGAGCCCAGCAGGTCGAGGCTGCGGTGGCTGGGAGCGGCCACTGCACTCCAGTCTGGGCGACAGAGTGAGACTCCAACTCAAAAAAAAAAAAAAAAGTTTTGTTTTAAATTATAGTAGTGTTTTAAATTATAGTAGTGCTTGGGAATTAAATGGGGTTGTATAATGTGATGTAGATACTTAATATCTTGTACTTGCTAGAACTCTGTGAGCAAAAATGACAGCCTAGATAGTAGCTTGTCTTCTTTTACCCTTTTATTTGTTTTTCTTAAGTGAGCCCCATGTAGTGCTCTGTCACCAGCCTCTCAAAATATACTTCTATCTTTGGCAACATCCCGGTAGCATCATGCCCCTAATGTTGGGATTAGTGATTGAAGTGTTGATGCAACCTGTCGGTGATGTGGAGGCTTGGTGGTTGCTAAGAGTTGTTTTTCCCCTCATACTAAGTATGTGGATTGAGCAACACTTAGGTGTTTTCTTCCTAGTTGTACTGAAACCTGCTAAGGGAGTGGCTATCTTGGGTTTAACTGATTAGATGTAGATGTTGTAGAGCCAAATTTGTACATGTTTTGTTGTTGTTTTGAGACAGGTTTTGCTCTGTTGCCCAGGCTGGAGTACAGTGACACTGTCATAGTCCCTGCATCTTTTTTTTTTTTTTTTTTTTT